TGTGTCTTCGGGTCAATGTGACTGATTTCGATGTAGCAGGTCACATATGTTATACACTTCTTGAATCTTTAAAATGTACAGGCCCTATTATGCTTTTTGGGGCTTTCCCTTCCATGTCTGTTAGAATGTTTTTTGTGCATAAATGGTCTGCAAAGGTTAAAATCCCTGGGTTCCCTCAGTTTCTCTCCCACACATTTTAATAAATTAAACTATACATTTGTATTTAAAAAAATGTACGTCTGCATTCACAACTACTGGGCTTGAAGCTGAGGAACAAAGACAAGAAGTCGGACGAGACATAGTACCAGCTTCATCCTTAGTTTAGGTTTAGGGTTAGGTTACTTAATGTGTTTCACAAGTTAACTGACTATAGTTTTTAGATCTGTGATCCAATAACTCATGAACTCAAGTCCCTACAATGTTCCAAATTGGGAAGAAAAACAAATGTTGGACAGCACATTTCGTGTAACAATGTTTGCAGAGACATTTACGAGGTTCTATCTGAGAAAAAAGAACAGCTACCTTCTTTTAAAATATACTACATCAAAGAAAGACAGTGACAGGACTTAGCCCTTCAATCTCTTCACTGTACCCATGAACCTCTGAAGGGTTCTCAGATAAACATGAAACCCACCAAACTGCTGCATTGTATCAGTGTAGTCATCACTGCTTTTATTTCCAAATTTCATCAATAAAAACTAAAATGCCTCACTGCAAGCAAAGCAGGAACAGGAAACCAAAACATGCAGTTTGACATAAAAGCATTGGTTATTATGTAATCAAACGGATGATGTCAACGACCCTCTAATAAAACCCAGAATGTACTGTAGACAGTTACATAAACATTAAATAATGACATCAGTCAAGAAAACATTACAGAACCCTTTACTGGACGGTGTGACCACAAACCACTGAAAACACAAAGTCAATGGGAATTCTGCAGGGAATACAGTGGGAATACAATGATGGACATTCAGACAAACACCAACGGACAGACCAACAGCAAAGTCAAGACGTCAAAAGCTGTGATTCTGTTCCAAAACACAGACAAAGAAAATAGAGTTTTCAGATGTAAAAAGCCGAGATGCCAACAGGCGTTTTGGAATTTGCTTTATCCTCATGAGTCTCATCAACATCCCACACTAACAAAATATTTTGCTTCAAACTGTGTAGCTGAGGTTCTTTTCTTTGCCGCTCTGAAGTTCCGGGCTGTTTTCACTGACTCAGTGCTGACAACTTGCGTTGTCTCAGATCTGTCCAAAAGAAAACTCCCGTAAAAAAGCCCCCGAGGACAAAGTCAGAGCTGTGACTTCACAACGGTTCTCCTGTTTTTACTGCACATACTTTTCAATCAGAACAGCCTCAAGGTTTTGGCCCGGCAGTACATTCGTTTGAATCCTCGGGAAACAGCTTTCCCTTCCCTCAACAAGTATGATCTGACAAGAGGGAATATTTAATGTTACTCAATAACAGGATTGGGCACCCAAAACCAGTTCTTAACAGATCTTGGTTTAGATGCCAATACAGAAAAAGGATAAATATTACCGAAACAAAAATGTGCGGACTTTTTCTTGGCACGTTCAGGCTATTATAAGTCCTGTTCCTTTTGGATCATACAACAACTACGTCCAACCGACATAATACCATACTTCGTAACAAAAATATTTCACGTTAGCTCTCCGGATTTGTACCCAAACTGTTAACTTTTATGGACTCTAAAATGCTCATCATATTTAAATCGGGAGAAATATGAAATATGCAAAAGATAGGAACCAATACAAAATTGAGACATATGTGTCTTATAGAATCTCAGTTTCTTGGAGACACGCAACTGGTTGGAAGTTGGCTCTTCATACCCAACCCAAGTCAACAACAATACAAGTTTGAGGTTGAATTTGACCAAAGTGCAGTAAATCCACTTTCTTCTAATACGACCCACATAAAATACTATATTTCTTTAAATACTTTATTGATCTCATGGCTAGAGTAACTGTAAACATTCATCATTCAACAGATCATTATTAGATTGAATGAACATTTTGTGTGCTTGCTGATTTCTGTTTGGAGAAGGGGCTTTCATTTTTCCAAACCAATCATTGGAAAGTGCAAATAATTTGCAGTCAGTACAGAAGTTGCAAAGATGTGAGGAGCAGTTAACTTAATAATAAAGTAATATGGTAATCAAAAAGTTTTCAATTCTGTAATCCAATATCCTCTGAGCTGAGGCCATTATCCAAGCGTGTTGCAATTTATAAGACAATAAAAATACTGAAAGGTAAAAAGGTCATGAGCTATCATTAATATAATAAAGGAAAGTTCCCTTATTATCTCTGCTTTTAGTTTTCTCCATTCTTCTTTTTCCTTCCCTCTAGATTCCGGTGTTCTTTCTGAACATTGATCCTCTTCTTCTTTAGCTAAAAAAAATGTATGCTTTCTTTTTGACACGTGACTTCATCTTATGCTCATTCCCGTTTTAAGTTAAACAATGAATTCAGGACCCGGAGGAGGGCTGTGTATTTTTACTTTAGTGTTAAAAAAATAAACGTTACTTAGCCCAAAAAACTCACTCAGTTTCAGGTTACTTATTTAACATAAGATAAGCACAGTATACAAATAAATAATATCATCTTTCTTCTTGTACTTTATTTTTACATAAAGCTGTAACTTCCTTCCGACCTTCCTTTCCATTTTGTTTAACTGTACAAGGGTATGAAAAACATTCCTCACTTTGGTTCAATTTTGTTTTACGTAGGTAAACTGCAATATATTATTAGGTATTTTGTTGAAATAACAATGATATAAATGAGAAAAAAGCAGCAAATCCTCGCACAAGAGAAACTGGAACCAGAGTACGAAATATAATTATTTATCTTTTCATTTGAACCCTAACCATCAATTCATTAACTGATTCATTAACAAACTGTAAAAATGTGCAGAGTGAAAAATCACAAAACATAATATAGATATAAAATAATAACATGTTTAGATCTCTTTCTCATGACTAACTAGAGAAGCAGTGAAGCTCCAGGAGTTAAATAATTATTCCTCCATAATCGCACACATCGAGTCTTGCCTCGCAGGAGATCAATGTGTCGAGCCGTAAAATACTGCAGCGGCAGAAAATCCTCCCCTGTTGCACCCAGACGTAACGGCAAGTGTCTTAATTAAAACTGGCCCTTCCTGGACGCCATAGACAACATGACACAAGCTCCCTGATTGGCTATAGGACAAATATCTCTTCCCGTTGTGGTGGGCGTCAATAGGCGAGTTTAACAAACACTGAGTTTTAATGGGATCTGCGCGTGAGGCTTCTTCATCAATAGACCTAATGACCGGTTTTAGCCCGGCAGCCGATAATGTGCCGATGGTTAGAGCCGGGTTATCGGATGAGCAGTTCTCCTAAGCAGAGGGCTTCAAAGGCCGGTTTGAGAACCCACAGTGGGCCCCAGCTCCACTCTGTTGGGTCCTAACACAACAACCAGACAAGGACTCTTAATTACTCACCTTCAAAATACCATAATATGGGGATTTGTATTCATTTGCATCTTTACTCTTATTTTTACTTCATATTCAGATTTTTCTAGTATATCCATCCATCTATCTATCTATCTATCTATCTATCTATCTATCTATCTATCTATCTATCTATCTATCTATCTATCCATACATATCAATTGAATGGAAATGTAGTAGACAACCGAGATAACAAAAGAAAGAAAGAAAGAAAAAAATACAAGTTTCAAAATACTAAGGAATAGTATTTAAGAGATATCAGTTTAAACCTTTTTTCTGAGGACAACAATTAAATGTTGAGGAAAAAAGTCACAATATTATAAAAAGTTAAAAAGTTGTATATTTTCATTAAAGTAATTGTGTGAATAAATTTTTTGAGAACTCAGTTTTAATATAGAGAAAATGCCCTCCATTTAAAGAATTGCCCTTTTTGTAAAATGTTGAAAACGTATTTTCTGAGTGTTTTATCTAAAATATTTCCATTATTTTCTTGTTAAACATCGTATTATTTTAAATATGCATCTGGATCTTTGGGCGTTTACATAAATATAACCAATAAAAGCTGATTTGAGGCGAGTGGCTAACGCTCCCATCAGTGACTAGCCTTTGGAGGTAAACAACTTTTCCCATACTATACGTCACGTCTAATACAATATCATACGTCACGTTACAGAACCCAGTCAGCTACTCGCCAGTGACCGCTAAAGTTTCTGAAGAGTCTGCATCTGATCAAATATAAAAAACGGTAAAACCCTGCTGTCAGTGAACTCAACACTTTCTCTGTTGGAAGCACAAATCATGGCACGCTGCTCACTCCTGCTGGACTTGGCCCGTGATTACTTTGCATGCCCCACCCTTGCTAACCTCTGACCTCAGACCCCCTCGAGCACCCCCCACCCCCATTTTTCTGAAGTCCTGCTGCGGTCAACAGCAGAGAGACTGATGTCCGCTCCACCGACGTCTGACTGACCTTTACCAGCTCGGCCACAAGGGAGTCATCCATCTCTGTCTCCGAGCATCCTTCACTGCCTCACCCCCCCACCCCCACCTTTTCTCTGTCTCCCCCTCTCTCTCACTAATGCTAATGCCGCTGTTTATAACTGCCACATTGACTTTCCCCTGCCACTGTATGTAAATACAATCTCCTCTGATCAATGGACTGAGAGGTGACATGACGCTGACCACAGGCACACGCACACACACACACGCACATACACACACACACACACACACACACACACACACACAAACAATATACACATAACAGTACAGAGTTAAATTCAAAACTTTAAAGATATTTGTGCAAAAAATATAATACAAATGTTTTAATGAAATTCCAGACATAAAGGGGATTGAACCGACCCGATATTTGAATACCTTTGACAACCTTTTTTGATGAAACAGAATTGAATGCTTTCATAGATAATAGACAATAAAATGAACATGTAAGAGTAAGACCAGCAGCAGTCTGTAGTCACGTGACCTACCTCCCACAGGTGTCTGCTGTTCCTGACGGCTCCAGAGTGCAGTTTGTCCAGCAGCAGGGGGACTCCCTGGAAGGGGCCGATCCAGGTCCCCTGAGGGATCCTCTGAGACGCGCAGATCCCGTAACCCAGCCCGGGAACTGTACTGGTGCACAGACACACCTGCAAACACAACACACAGGTCGAATGAGTCCTTCAAATGGAAATGACTGATTCAGTTATCGATTCAATTCAATTATTGAACTTACTACTACTTCAGTCCTAAAGTCTAAAAGCATAAAATAAGAGAGAATCCTCATATTGAAAAAAAGTCATAATATTACAAAAAAGTTTTAATTTCACACTTGAATTCAAAGTTAAAATAAAATGTTTTTATAATCAGATATAATAGATCACTTTAAGTGTAATCTATCAGTACCTGTTCAAGAAAAAAAAAAAGAAGATTTTTGTATTAATCCCTTGGATCATCACTATCTCTTTGCGTAAATAAATATGTTTAAAAAGAATGATTGTTTTTTCCAAAGAAGACACCTTATGCAAGCAAACTCACAAAATGTATCAGTGCAAAACAATGTTTTTTGCAACCTTGAAACTATGTAAAAAGCATTTGTCAGACAAACAGGAAGTGTCACCTCTCTGGGCAGGTCTCTGAGCCAATCAGGGACGTCGGGCATCGTGACGGGAGCCGGCGTGCTGCTGGTGCCGACGAGGCGCCGCAGAGAGTGGAGGGGCCCATGCATCGGACACTCGCCGTTCCTGTTGTCTGCACACATGTCACAACCTTCAGGAGACAAGAGGGATGTTACATTTTATTAGCAGCAAACGTACCATTATCAAACTGCTATATGATCTAAATACACACCCTTTAATTTTGTATTTATCTAAATGCTGTGTGTGGCCCTTAATTTAACTGTACATGTTTTAAAACCTTTGCAAATTGTGAACATTATGATATTCTCTTTGTGCTTTTTCTTTAAATTTATTGGGACATGTTTTGTTTTTTACTCAGCGGATCATTTAAATTAAGATATTATTTTTACTGAATTTAACAACAGAAGGGTTCAAATGAGTAAGGGGTTAAATATTTAATCAAAAGTTTATTTATGGCCTTTATTTTTTTAATATTCTGCAGCTCATAAGGTTAACTGTATGTTCCTTTCATTAAAGATGAAACACTTTCAAAAGTCCCTTGGTTTAATAAAATAATTGTCTGCTAAAGTGAAACACTGTGTGAAGAACAAGGTATGAGGGAGAAAGAGCATGTGTTTGAAACGCTCCCAAAAAGTCAGTTCGGCTCTCTACACGTTTTTTTTCTCCAGGTTAAATGTGGCGAGCCGCGTATTGCTGGGAATTAGCGAGTGTCAACATTTACTCAGAGATGCAGTCTGACAGTAATGGATGTTAATTGACTGTAGCAACATAATGAGAGATTATTATCTGGACAAAAAACTCCCACAGAGCAGCGAGGCTGAGAGGAACAGGATGTTAATGTTTTGTTCTTCCTGAAATTAAATATCCGCAGTTTGAGAGACTGACGGCTGCTTTGACACCATGATGGATTGAAGAAAATTAAACGACATTAGGGTCATTAATAAACCACAGAATGAGACACAGCTTCACGGTTGAGTAAATGGGAAAAATGTTAAAAAGATTAAGTTCTCCGCAACCCTTGACTTTATGTGGAAGTGTTCACCAATGAGAACACTGTTAATGGGTTACGGTGAGTCACCCTGTGCTTAACAGCTGTGTGAAGAAACAGTGTTTATTTGACTAGATATTAAATGCAAGAAATTTTTCTGTCTCGAGAAACTAAGAGACATCATATTTAAGGGTAGAAATCCCAACATATTATATGTAGACAATATATATATA